TATTTCAACAGTTTCTATCGACTTTGGATGCATGGGGATTTAATGAAAGTCTTGGGCAAGAACTAAGGAGGAGAAATTCGCCGAATGCGTCGGCCTTCCTAGGGGACTATCCACATCGAAATGAGTATGGGCTAGTACTCGGTCTAATGAAGTGATCGTTGTTTCTTGTTTAAATTAATGAAAAGGATATCTGGCATATTTTACTAAGATAGGGTCACAATGTTTAAGATTAATGGTATGAGAAGCGACGTTACATGGTATTAATTCTTACTAGGCTTCAAAAAGCATTTGGGTAATTTTGACAAAGCTTTACAATTTTTTTTTTATATCGAAGCAGCCGCCGCAGGCCTAAATGCCGGAACACCGCGGCTGCTATGATGATCTCAAAGGAAATTTTGCTATTACGATTTTTGAACTGCCTAAGGTTAGTAGAACTGGGAAAAGCTTCCTCTTGTAGATTGTTCCATAATCTCGATACCCTCGGGACAAATGAGCGGTCGTATCGGCCAGTTCTGGATGTACGAAGTTCGACACGGTTACGATGGGACGCCAAAGTCAGGCGGGTCTGCCTGGCAGGCACATCGCGCGGCGGAAGAGAGCTCTGAGGAGGTGTAGCGGTAGAAAAGAGCTAGATCGTCGACAGCTTGCCGGTGCGAAAGGGTCCCGAGGCTGTCTGTTAGAGAAGAGTCATCGATCAGTCAGACCGCCCTCCTCTGGACAGCATCGAGCATGGACAATGTAGTCGGGACTGCAGCACCCCAAACGTGCGAGCAATACTCGAGCCTAGGAATTATCTGGGCCTTGTATACAGTGAGAAGGTCATGCGGAGAAAATTACTTCTTAGCCCTAAACAAATAGTCTAGCTTTTTCCCAACAGCTGCTGCTATTGATGAGATGTGCTCGTGCCAGATCAGGTCCTCGGTGATCTGGACGCCGACCAGCCGAAAGGAATGGCTCTTTGGCAGAACATCGGCCATCTATCGAAACCGAATGAGCGCTAGGACGCTTTTGTTCGTCAAAGTACAGTACTGTGTTTTGTAAGCATTGAACTGTACAAGATTGTTGCGTCCCCAAGCAGTGATAGCCTCCAGGTCTCTTGTCAGAGAGGAAGTCGTCGCTAGTCTTCTTCTTTCCAGCTCAGCGGCAGAGATCGGCTTGTCACTATAAATTCCTGCATGTAGAGTGCTGTCATCAGCGAAGCTGTGGATTGGGTTGATCGTGCAGGAAAGGAGGTCGTTGATATGTAAGAGAAACGGTGTCGGAGCCAAGACCGATCACTGGGGAACACCCGCGTTGACGTTGTGGGATGAAGAGGAGAACCCCTCAATTACGACGGATATCTTGCGGTCAGAGATAAAGTCAACCACCCATCTGCAAAGCTTTTCTGGAGGGCCGTAGGATGGAAGTTTGCTTAAGAGGGCAGCGTGCCACAGCTGATCGAACGCTTTCGTGATGTCAAGGGCTACGACATGAGCCTTACCATAAGACTGTATGAGTTTACTCTACAGTTGCGTGACGTAGGCTAGGAGGTCCCCTGTGGATCGTTGGTGCACGAAACCATACTGCCTGTGGCTAATCAAGCTGTGACTTCGAGGTAGTCCAGAAGCTCGCGATTTATGCACCTCTCTCCTTACTTATAACAGAAAGCAGAGCTAAGGGCCTGTAGTTGAAAGGGTCGGTCTTAGATCCCTTATGCGGGATGGGTTGGACATGAGCAAATTTCCAGTTTTCTGGGAAGGTGCCGGATTCATAAGATATCTGGAAGAGACGCCAAAGAACTGGAACAAGCTCCGCTGCACACCTCTTCAGTACAATGGCAGGAATCAAGTGCGGACCAGAAGCTTTGTAGATGTGGAGCGACAAAAGCACTCGTCTTATGGTCTTATGCCTGAATAACACCTCCCGCATAGTGTACGGAACCCTTGAATTGACGGCCCTTGTGCTTTGGGGGGGGACGTCCATGGTGGAGTTGGCCGAAAAGATCTTGGCTAGCACTTCCGCCTTGGCCTTCGAGTCGAATACAATAGTTCCATCCTGACATGTAAGTGGTGGAAGGCTACTGTGTGAGAAGTTATTTTCAATCTGCTTGGTCAGCGTCCAGAAAGACCGACTGCCATTGTGCTGCGACATTACCCTGTGCCTAACTTTTATATCGGGCTGGTTTTTGGCATTGCGTACCTCTTCGTTATATTTGTTTCTGGACTCGACGTCGGCTTGTCTGTTCTCTACAGTGGGGTTTTTAAGAAGGTTCTGTGTGCCTTGATCTTCTGCCGGCGAGCAGTGTCACACGATTTGTTAAACCAGCCGTTGGACCCTGGTTTACACACTTTCACTGTGCGAGGGATGTATTCCTATATTCCGACGTAGATAATTTCGGTTATCGAAGAACAGGCACCCGACGCTTCCGCTTCAGTGAAAACAGACATCTATCCAAGGAAAGCTAGAGAAGAAGTCTCTGAGCCAGTCCCAGTCGGCATGTCCGTAATGCCAAGTTTTGCGGCCTGTACCAGTTTCTGCTGCCACAGCGGGTTCTGACCGAAACCTAACCTCCACAACACTGTGGTTTGAGTTTCCCAGGGGGGATAGGACAGCAGTGCTGTAATGGACAGGATGCGTGGTCAGAAAGAGATCCAGCAGGCTACTGTTGTGTGACAAGACGCGGGGGAAAAAGGTAGGGCTCGTCACCTGCTGGGTCAGCCCTTCAGTAAGAGCGAACGCTTCGGCTACACGACCTGCTGCATCGGTCTTGTTTGA